TGAACTCACTCTTTGAAGCTGTAAGATCCAAATTAAAACCTTTCTTTAAGAAAATAGGTTTCTTTTGTCACATATAGGCAGGCTCTTGCATGAAGAAAATACTTATATTTCTTAATATTTGATATAATGGCTATCTTACAAGATCAAAAAATTGACAATCTTGGATTCAACGGGAGGCGGCAAACAGTAAGTATTCTTGAGTACATATTGCCACCCAGTGGCTGAAACGCACAATGCACCAAGAATGGCAAAGGCAAAACAAAGACAGTGAGGGGTTCTGACAAGGATGCTTGTGGTAAAGCTTTGTTTGTGTTCGGTGGAGACTCTACCATTTGCAATCACAATATGACTTACATCACTCATTCAGAATGTCAGGGTATGTTTTGCTCTATTTATTCTTAAAGTAGCTGAATCAACCTTGTCAGGGCCTTTCAGCAATGAGAGAAAAATATGAGATGTGTGCTTAACACCATATTAGATAATAAAATTTCTTTAGTACATATGAGACTCAAGGCCACAGATGTCTAATAAGACAAATCAAAGGCACTTTACTTGCCATAAGCAGAAGGAAAGCTGTCAAGACAAGCATTAGATACTCAAATCTTTACTCCCCAAGGTACTACGAGCTCTGGCATGATATTAAAGATGGATTACATTCTTGACATAATAATTTGAATTTCCCTTCATCTAAAAGCAAAGAAAGATTCTGTGTGGGGATATACAGAGACACTGGGGAGAAGTTAGGTCATTTGAATGAGTGTTGAAGCCATGTTAACACAGGAATTTCCTAGATGTTTGACTTGGAGGGTTGCAGGAGTATTCTCTTTTTAAAGTAACATCCTAGGCATCTTCTGGAAGTCTCTAGAGAGGCTGAAACCTATTTACTGTATTCTCTAAAATAAAATAATGGAATGTATGTGATTTAAATGGCACTGAAGGTCCAAGAAAATTAGAAGAGGATGTCTTACAGCTGTTACACAGCACCTCCACCACAAAGTCTACCTATCCACTTTGAATACATTTAGATAGGGAATCCATGAACTACTGTGATCCCTTGCTATGTCTTGTATTTCTTGATCACACACTACCTACAGGTTAATACATCAGCTTATTACTACTTTATGGATATTGGTAGAAGGCATGAGATACCTGGAATAAAGACAAAGGACTTCATTGCTCACTGTTAGCAGCCAGTATGAACATCACATGGTTGCCCTTGTCCCCCAAGTTGTACAGAGGCACCACATACAGACACAAGTGTATCCTTGTGTATCCTACACAAGTAGGTTTGTGTCCTAGATTGGGAATGCTAAATCTAGCATTCTTGAAATAAATGGCAAGCAAGCTGGCTGTCTGCCCATAGTCTTGAATGTATCTATTAAGGTGGCTTGCTGCACACACAACCTTGAAAAGTGGCTTAGATGAACAGCAGGAAGGACTTTGCATGCTTGGTGTACAGAAAAAAAGTATGCTGGAATGTTAAGGCAGAATAGTGGTCTCCTGATTTCCAATAGTTGGCTTGGTGGGCTTTCTTATCCTTTGGCATTTTGTGTTTCAAATATGTGCTTTGTTCTAGTCCACGGTCACAGAAGTCTTTATCATTTCTAAGCCTGTTCCTCACTGGTCCTAAGTGGCTCTGGGTCCTTCACCATTATCAATGCCTTTTCTTGATTTAGGGTTTACTTTCTCAAATGGAATATAATAACCCAGGGATGGGATATTCTCACTTGAGAGAAGAGTGAAAATATTACTTTAATTGTTCTAGAACGATACTTTTATAAGGCTTTCTCTGGAGCTTCATGGCAGTTCCATGAGTTCCCACTCCAAATCCCCGACTTTTATCATAAGCTGACTGCTGTTAGGCTGTACACTGACTGTACTCTTTGTGTGCCAGAGAATGGAAGCTCCATGTAATATTTGTATGTATGTGTTCGTGTGTGTGTGTGTGTGTGTGTGTGTGTGTGTGTGTGTGTGTGTGGATGAGTGTGTGTGTGTTTACATGTGGATGTGTGTAGGAGTATGAACCCCACCACTATCTGCCTGTCTCCACTTTCTCAGTTCTGGGATTATACACCTAGTCCTACCACACCAGGAAGTTTTGTTTTTAACATAGATTCTGGAGTTCAAACTCCGGCCCTTGCACTAGTGTGGCAAGCACTTTACCAACTGACTCATCTCCCTTGACCTTTCATGCAGCTCCCACTAGAGCTGTTGTGCCAGCCAGATTCCATTTACTACAATAATAAGTGTCAGGGTAAGCGTTTCTTCAGAATGGTCATTGTAGTTCTAGCAGAAAAATGTGAGTCCAGAATCCTCATTGTCTTTAGGAACTATGTAAATATTTTACATAAGATATTTGTTCTGGCCGGGCGTTGGTGGTGCATGCCTTTAATCCCAGCACTCGGGAGGCAGAGGCAAGCGGATCTCTGTGAGTTCGAGGCCAGCCTGGTCTCCAGAGTGAGTGCCAGAATAGGCTCCAAAGCTACACAGAGAAACCCTGTCTCGAAAAACCAAAACGAAAAAACAAAAAAAAAATTTGTTCTGATTTATTACATGCAAGAGTGTTTTGCCTGCAAGATGTCTATGTGTCCCTTGTATGCCTATTGCCCATAGGCACTAAAAACTGGAAATAGTAGAATCTACTAATAGATTTTTAAAAACTGTGGCCAAATGCCTTAAATACATCTCCTTTGCAAATATTATTGCTTTGGAATAACTTTAATGCATATTATTATTATTAAATAATTCCACCTAAATCCTGATGCTATAAAAATATCTGCTAAATAGTGGTCCTAAAATTGGCTATGGTCTACAACCATATCACCCTTAAAAACTCTTAAAATGCCCAATTGCATCTAAAACTGGTTACATGTTGGAATCTTCCAGAAAGCTTTAAAACTACTGTTGCTTGTCCTAGCTCAGAGCCTGCTTTATTTAATCTAAGGAGTGGCTTAGACATCAGGGATTTTAAAACCTACCAGGTGACATTGTGCAGTGGAAGTTGAGAACAGCTCTCAAACTAGTATTCAAATTAAGAAATTCTCTTACTCTTTACTATTGGATACCAACAGAAATCATTGCAAATTCAGAATTTTTATGTAAGAGTTCTATATCTTTAATCTTCTGTCTCAGGCCACTGTCACAAATATTTGATTCAATAGATGATATTCATTTTATTAAAATAATATAAATAGGTTCCAATGACAGAGTTTAGTATAATACTAAAAAATATAATTATTATAGAACTGGAAAGAATTAGTTTGCAAAATAAATATTTCTTTATAACATACATGGTTTCTAAAAAAGACATATATATTAAACCTGTATTTTAAAATGTATATTGCTGTTCAAATTGGAAGGAAGATTATGAGTAAACATGACTGCCTTAAAAAACAGGTTCGTAATGTATTCTTTCTTTAAAGTGACTTTAATATGTGATTATTATTTAAATAAGTTTAAGGAAACATTGAATATACACTTTTTATTATAATTAACAATATAAAATGATTCATTATCTATAGGGTTCTAGACTCCTGGGAATTCAATCTTTCATTCTCTCCTTCCTCCTCTCCTCTCCCTCCTCCTCCCCACCCCCAAGCGTTAAAGTCTAAAAGAACATAAGCTACTCAACTTCCACATATGACCTATCTCCATGAAAAACTACAGTGACACCTCCATTCACTTAGATGCTTGCAACATGTATGTCATGATTCTGTTCTTTGCTAATTTAGTTGAAAGCTTAAGTGACAGTAACCTTGAACGAAGTTTCACTTCCAGTCAGTTTGTTTTCTCCTTTGTTTTTTGAGACAGTGTTACCCTGTATAGCCCTGGATGTCCTGAAATTTGCTCTGTAGACCAGTCTAGTCTGGAACTCGGAGATCTGTCTGTCTCTGCCTCCTAAATGCTGGGATTAAAGGGGTAAATTCACTATGCCCATCTCTAGTAATCTTTGAATACAATCCAAATTGTCTATTTTGGCCCAGCTAACTGGAATTAGGAAATGAAAAAGTACAGGATGGTTGGAGCATATGTTATAGGGTGGGGAGCAGATGAAATTAAAGAAGTAGGCAGGAATGAGGTCATCCCAACACTTTCAAACTTCAGTGAGTATGTGTTAATTTAGGAGGGAGTGGAAAGTCATAAAATAATGTTGAATGTAAAGCAAGCAGTTTCTCACCTGTCAACAATCAGTAGCAGCAACAAGATGGGGCCTGATAAGAAAATGACTAATGATATGGTAAGATATGGTAACCTGAATGTCTGTGGCACATGAGAATAAGTGGGTTGTATGTTGAGACAGCCATGCGGAAAGAGAAGGAAAGGAAAGGGAAATACTTGGAAACATTGCACAGCTTCAGATGGAGAACTGTATGAATGACACTTAATTTATGGCATACAACACCAGAGGGAAGAAGGGTTTTGGAGGTGATGAGTTAAATTTGGAGTTTACCTTGTATTGTCACAGGGTATGTCCTACAAGCTCTATAACCAAATCTATTCACGGATTTAAAAATAGAAAATGATTAAAATGACCACTTTATATCTATGGAATATCAAGTATGAGAATGAAGATAATGTGAGCATAAGAAAATACAACTTTAAGGCATGTGATTTTAAAAGGTAACAGAAGAGCAAAGCATTATAAAATATGAAATGTGCAATGTATGATACAAGTTTTCAGAAATAAGGGTTATTAAGAACTCAGTTGTTGTGGACTGGAGAAAAGGCTTAGCCAGTACAATATTTGCTGTGCAAGCATGAGTTTGATCCATTGTGCCCATGTAAAATCAAAGCCAGGCACAGTGGAATGTGTTTGTAATCCCAACACCAGGAGGCAGAGACAGGAGGCTTACCAGCCAGAAACAGTAAACCCTGGCTTCTGTTAGAGACCTTGGCTCAACCAAAAAAAGGTGGACAGCAATTGTGGAACGCACTGACACTGACCTCTGGCTTCCTATACACATGTATCTATATATACAGGAACAAATAATACACACATGCCCACAGAAATATAAAGCTATTTAATTATTACCATCAAAAATTCATTTTCTACAAAAGTTTCTCATTAATTGGAAGTACTCATGGGGATGGGTCAAGGAAGGAATGTGATATTTTGAGCTATAGAATTTGCTGGAAATCCTAATTACTTACTAGAAGATCTGAATACTATAACTTTTTAGAATTAAATAAACCAACAAAGTTGGCTTCAGACACAGGGGGACAAAAGTCATCTCAGATATTTGGACCAATACACAGGGAGTGTGACATAAGAATTTCTTCTCTGCAAAGAAAATATAAGCATGGAAAGTTTCTCTCAACACAATTGACATGCAACCTTTGTGTTAAAAATAAACAGAACTTGGGGAAAAGTTGTCCTGTTTTGTCTTCCTTCATTAAGCAATGGCCTGACACACAGGATAGTGCATGGCCAACAGCAGCTGCCTCAGCCTTGACATCACAAGTAAACTTTAAAAAATGGTGATTGTAATGTAAATGCATCCACCATAGCCCAGGGTTCCCATAAATACATCTGCTAGCAAACACACACACCAAATTTAAAGAGGCCAAATGCCACACTTAGCCACGTATGTAATTCTGTTTTGCATTTAACATGCATATACACATCAGCAGACTGATATCTGAGCAAACGATTCTTTAACGTGTTGTACTTCCATATATTGGTGGTGTTTTCTAAAAGCTTATGCAAAAGTTAAGATATTGGATACATCATTAATGTATAGTTAGGACAATCAAATGAAACCCAATTTCAAATCCCACTATGAGATACAATATTGATATAGCTTATATGTCACCGTCCTTTCATCACAACTTTTCAATTAGTGGGGGTTTATCTAGAGTAGGCTCCAGGACAGCCAGGGATACACAGAGAAACCCTGTCTTGAAAAACAAACAAAATATCCTGACTGATTCTATTCATCCTCTCTTCTTTGGTCATTCTCATTCTGAATCCATCTCATTAAATAGGAGGCTGTGGTGTGAGCAAATCCTCTATTGTGATGCCTACTTATGTCCCAAAAAGTGAACTCCAAATTTTCTACATGATTTGGCATCCCTACTATTCTATTTCCTTGCTACCCGTCTAGTGCCCTGCTTCACTGTTTTTTGCCTTGGGTAAGTTATAAACTTTCAGTTTCATTTCCTGGTTCATGATGTTCTCTCTCTCCCTGCTATGACTGCACTTTGTCAAATATTTGTACATGGGGCCAAAGAGACGACTAGGCAGGTAAAGAGTGCTGGCTGCCCTTGCAGACGACTGGATCTTGGTTCACAGCACTCACAGCTACCCTGTAACTCTGTAACTCCAGCTCCAGGGGTTGACGCCTTCTTCTGTCCACTGCAGGCACCTGTATGGACTTGTGCACACAGACACAATGAGATATATACATACAAATAAATTTAAAAACATGTTTTAAAAATCTGCATGTTTTGGGTCCATATAAGCTGTTATTTTCTCTGTAATATCTTCTTTCTCCTGACCTCTGAGTAAAGCTAACCCTTCCACCTTCAGTACTCATCTCTTCGTAAAATTATATTTTAGTTGTAGAAGCATTTTATCTCTGAAAGAAACCTTAAAACATAGAAGGAATATTCAGCAAGGATGCTAAAATACCAGAGAGGAACCCATTAGAATTTTTGGGAGTGAAAGAAGCAAACGATCAAGTCAACATCACATCAGAAAGCCCACAGACAAGAGCAATTAGGAGAATGAACTTCAGGGAGGAAAGGCTAAGCTGAGACAACACTACATTCAGACACATACGATGATAAAAACAAAACAAACAACCAATAATTCCAAAAAGTCTGGGTCACATTCAAGGGGCACATTCAAAAGACAGAACTCTAAGAACCTATGAAGTAGGAGCTGAGGTAAAGTCAAAAGTCATAGATAATTTATTCAATTAACTTAGAGAAGAAATTTCTCTAACCTTAGAATAAGAAACCAACATGTAAACACGAAAGGCCTTTAGAAACCCAAACAGATGTGACCAAAGAAATTCTCCACAACATACCACAATGTCACAACCAACAAGCAAAGACTAAAAGCTGAGAGGAAAAAAGTTTTCAGTTCATATACAAGTGGAGAAGCATCACAATAACATCAAATCATTTATAAGAAACACGGAGCCAGGAATGTATGGCATTATATATTTTAAGCTCTGGTAGTAAATGATTGTGAGCAAAGTTTTTAAAATTATGGAAAATTAAAGCTATTAGTAACAACCATGCAGAATCACAGAAAACCTCAAAGGAATACTATATATGTAGGAAAAACAAAGTCTCATCCATAGAATAAATCATTCCATGAGTGATCAAAAAGAGTTGGGAAGGAAGTAATCAGGTACAACTCAGCAAACCAGAAACCCCTAATAATAACAATAATCAACCAATAAAATCATAGGGAAAAAATCCAGTGCAAATGATCTCAATTAAGCAATAAAAATGGAATAACTGATGGAATTAATAACATTTATTGTCTCCAAGAAACACACTTTACCAGAAAACAAAAACAAAATCCACAAAATAAAAACAGAGTCAAAAGGTGAAAATCAACATACCAAGCAAATAGACACTGTGGACATGCTATGCAGCAATTTTTGTACATGATAAGGTAGATTTCAAACCAAAACTGGCTGAAAGCAATAAAAAGAGCTACTACATATTAACAAAGGAACAGCTCCTCAGGGAGATGTAACAACTGGAAATATTATTCAATGAGTATCAGGACTACAAATTTCATAAGACAAACACTGAAAGGCATAGCATGTCACACAGAAACAGCTGACCTGAACAAGTGGGAGCTCTTGGCCCCCAGACTGATCACTGAGAAAACAGCATGGAACTGATCCAGACCCCCTGAATGTGGGTGTCAGTTAGGAGGCCTAGGAAATCTATGGGGCCTCTTGTAGTAGATAAGTACTTATCCCTAGCATAGGAATGGACTTTGGGAGCCCATTTCACATAGAGGGATACTCTCTCAGCCTAGACACACAGGGAAGGGCCTAGACCCTATCCCAAAGGATATGACACTCTGAAGACCCCCATGGAAGACCTCACTCTCCCTGGGGTGCAGAATGGGATAGGTAGGGCGTTAGTGGGGGACAGGGGAGGAGGTGGGAGGAGAGGGACCTGGGATTGACATGTAAAACAATCTTGTTTCTAATTTAAATAAAAAGATGGAGGAAAAAACAGGTTTTTAATTAGGACTCTAATGGCACAAACATCTGCAAATAGATTACATAAAATAAAAAAGCGTTTGCACAGTAAAGGGAACTATCAGCAGGAGAACAAGCTGCTTACAGAGTAGTGCAGAGTCTTTGCCAGATATACTTCAAAGAGGGACTTAGTACCTAGAACATATGTTCTAGGTAGAACATATAAAAACCTTCAAAACTAAACAATAAAACTATCTCCAATAATTGAGCTCATGAAATGGACAGATGGTTCTCACAAGAAGTGCAAATGTCCAGATCTATATTAAAAATGTATCCAACACCTTTAGCCACCTTTAGTAGTTAAAACTACTTTAAGATTCTACCTAACAGTAGTCAGAATGCCTACTACCAAGAGAAATAAAAGGACAAAGCTCAGTGGCTTGGAACACCGGCTGCTCTTCCAGATGGTCTGAGTTTGAGTCCCAACACTCCTTTTCATGGTCCGTAGGAGTGTAAATTGGAGCAACCAGAAATTACAGAAATAAGCATGGGGCTTTGAAAAGTAGTGAGGACATGAAGCTGGGAGGGGCATGTTGAGGAGATCTGAGGAAGAGTTAGAAGGGAAATGAAGGGTTGTTACGATCATATTTCACCGTAGATGTATACATGAATTACATTACCACAAGAATACAATTAAAAGCAGAACAGCCTTATGAGCCAACTATTCTACTTCTGTGCATAGACCCAAGACTCTATATCCTGCCACAAAGATACTTAAACTTGCCCATTTACTGATATGCTAGTCACAACAGCTAGGAATTGAAATTAGCCTAGAGGTTCATCAACAAATGAATGGGTAACAAAAATACAGCACATACAAAATTTTATTTAGTCATAATGAAATTATCAAATTTATAGAAAAATTGATGGATTTGGAATTATTATGTTGAACAAAATAACCCGGACTCAGAATAACAAACATTGCACTTCTTTCTCATATAGAATCCTAAACCTGAATGTTTATGTGTACATACACATATATGTATATGCACATATCTGTATGTATGTGGGTGTAAGTGTACATGTAGGTGCTAAACCTAGAAAGGGAACATACGGGACAAGAGGGTTGAGCAAGGAAGAGGGCGATAGAAGACATCGGATCCAGAAGAAGGGCTACTGGGGGTGGACCGTTACATAACGGGAAAGGGAGAGACGGGAACATCAGCAAAACATGCTGTTTGAAAATGCTGTAAGAAAACCTACTCTTTTGTAAAGCAATTAAAATATGTATTTAAAAGGAAGTGTTTATCTCTCCTACTGCATTTGACTCAAATGGAAAGGTTGTCTTTATTTTGATTCACTGTGCTAAGCCTCATACCTAAAACAAAAGTTGGTACCTGACATATATAGAACTAGACAGACCCGGTCTTGGTTTATAGATAAATACAGAAAACTTGAGGAATAGCATCATATTGATTCTTTTGTCAGTTGCCCTAAGAATTAAACCAAGATCATTTGGCTGTGGGTAGTAGTGAAAGTATACCCTAAAGATGAATTTTCTTTTTGTAATCTTCTTGGTTTTATACGAATCAAAAAGCTAAAACTTTCTTTTGCAAGCAGTGTGGAAGGATGCACAAAACAGCGATGCAAACTTCCAGTCAAGAACCTGTAAAAGACACAGAAATAAAGCATAAGCTCCTAACTAGTGTTCTTAGCACATCAGTGCAGGAATCATAAAGTACATTATAAACTAAAAAACGCTGTAAAGACTAAGTGGGATGGGGGTTGGTGAGGGGCATGGAAGGACAGGAGGGAGAGGGAACTGGGATTGGTATGTAAAATAAGATTGTTTAACTTTAAATAAAATTAATTAAAGATAGCATGGCAATAAACCACACAAAGTGAGTTAAACTGTACAGAAAATTGATTATGTACTAAAGGGTCAGTAGTAAATCATTGTCATGGAATTGCTTTATAGATGTCTAAAAGGACCTCTCTTTTGTCAACAGCATTTAATGGGAGCACCAACACATTCATTTGAGTTTTGTCAGCATCTATCTGCTTTTGCTCCACAGTGGCAGAGTTGACTGGATGAGACAGATACTGCATGTTCTATACAACATAAAAGATTTATTGAGTCAGAGAGAAGATGACTCAGCGGGTAAAGGCTCTTGCCATCAGCCTTAATGACATAAGCTGGATCTCTGGAAGCCATATAGTAGTAGAAGAGAACATACTACTGAAAGTTGTCGTCTGCCTCCACGTGTGTACTATAATGTGGATACTCTCATCTGTGACATACGCACTCGCGCATGCGTGTGCACACACACACACTACAAAATAAAATTTCAAAAAGATTTACTATCTATCCTTTCAAATAAAAATTCTAATTTTACCACATATGGCAATTAGAAAGTTAGTTCATATATTTGTAAATTTCTAATTCTATAATTTAGAATCTTTATGCAAACTTTTATTATATTTTTCATTACTTAAAACAATTTAAAATATATTTTGCTTATATTCCTCCCCTCCCCCAAGTCCCTTCAGATACTCTTTCCCTTCCCACACATCCAAATCAAAGTTCTTTCTCATAAAACAACACAAACTCAGTATAACAACAAACCACCCCCCCACCAAGAAAACCAAATTAAACTATAGTTGTGTGGACTTATGTCTGCGTCTTCAATTCTATTCCATTGACTAACTTATCTGCTTTTGTGCCAATACCATGCTATTTTTATCACTGTAGCTTTGTTGTACAACTTGAAATCCAGGATGGTGATACCTCCAGCAATATTTTATTATTCAGGATTGTTTTAGCTATACTGTTCCCCCCCCCTCTCTCTGTGTGTGTGTGAGTGTGTGTGTGTTTCCATATGAAGCTAAAAATTGTCTTTTCAACAGCTGTGAAGGATTATGTTGGAATCACATTCAATCTGTAGATTGATTTTAGTAGTGTGGCCATTTTTACAATATTAATCCTTTTTTCATAAAACAAAAATAATGAAGGGTATAAAGATGTTGTAATAGAAAATGCATAGATTAAGTTCACATCAGCGATAAAGACTTTATACAGGAATTTTTTTAAAGACCAAATTTAAAACTTTTAACATAAGCCTACCTAATTATTCTTCATTAACTAGGAAAAGAAATGAATATTCTTCCCTATAGAGTTTGTTCCAGAAACTTTTCTATACCAATTTTGCCACTTTAAAATCAAAACTTGATTATTCTTATAGGGAGGAAGAAATATTATTAAATTTAATTACTTTTTCAATGAAGGCAGGGAAAGGCTGGAGGGAGGAGGAGAGGGAGAGATGAGTGGGGAGGGCATGTAGGAAGAGACTGAAGAGAGACACCACAGAGGGGCTGTGTACCTCATTCTCTAATGGATATGAAGCCAATCTGTGTACCGAAGTTAAGGCCATCTCGAACATGGGAGAAAAACTTATCAGGATGGCAGGATGTGCAGAGGTCAAGATCTCCCTTCTGGTCTTGAATATTCTGTGGAAGAATTCCTCCTCGTTCTAGAAGAATCCTGAGAATAAAGATGTTTCAAAAGATGGCAAGAGTTTACATTACTGATAGTGAGAGCAACATGAAAGAGGAGTGTTTACTTGAGTGGACACATTCCAGGAAAGACGGAAGCTGCTATTTACTCCACAGCAGGGCTGGTCAGGAAATGGTAGATTTTGTCAGCATTTATCATCAAAGCTCAAATATGGCTGTGCAGTTATCCACACTGGCCTGCAGACATGTGCAGGCTCTGGGATAGTGTGAGGAGAGTTAAATGCTTGTTTGGAAAGAAGAGCATTGGTTAGCCAGGCATTGGTGGCACACGCCTTTAATCCCAGCACTCAGGAGGCAGAGGCAGGTGGATCTTTGTGAGTTCGAGACCAGCCTGGACTACAATAGCAAGTGCCAGGACAGCCTCCAAAGCCACAAAGAAACCCTGTCTCGAAAAACCAAAAAAAAAAAAAAAAAAAAAAAAAAAAAAAAAAAAAAGAGCATTGGTGTACAAAACTCACTTGGTTCAGACAGGGTACACTTTTAATCATCTAATCTTCCTCTTTCTCTCTCTCTCTCTCTCTCTCTCTCTCTCTCTCTCTCTTTTCCTAATTACTATACTTTTCACAGAAAACTTCCTTCATAAATATTCTGATATAAAATTAGTGACTGTTATTTCACAAGCCACATTTAAGATTTAGTTATTATTGATGGAACCCTTTCTCCTCGAGTGTTAAGTGAGGAGGGGCCTGGGTGTGGTTTTGCTGACTGGAGTAGAAAGACAATTCAGACCAGACATCAGCTTCCTTTTGTAGCGAGGACAATTTCCAACAGAGATTAAGAAGCACATTCATATATTCAAAAGGCAGAGGACCACAAATACTTACAGTTGTTACATTTATATTACCTAATATTTTACAAGAAATGTTTTCTAGTTAATTAGACAATAAGAATAGTTTTAAAATATTAATTTTCTGTTGTTTCTATTTCTTAGGAGAATTAACCTAAGCAATGGATGTGAAGTAAAGTACATATCAGCTATTCTATACAGAGTTTAAGTAGTTTTCTGTAGAAATCAGCTTGCAATTTACTTTGAAATCAATAAACTGTAAGTCACGGTATTATCTGGGATACAAATGGAAGTGAGAATACACGCCTTACTTAAAATGTGTTTTCCCCATGTGTGTGCATGTTAGCTCCTTAAATATTTGCTACCTGAATTGTTGTAGGGAGTTATTCACTGTTCTTGAAAGTAATTTTCATCTCAGAAACAATAACCAAACTTGCGTCCCCACATTGAAATCACATACCTAGTGGCTTTCCGGATGTCAACATAGGGATTCAGTGAGTCCAACTGCCGCACACATGAAGGATGAAGATTATGAAATGAGGTTGCCGATTCTCTGGGAAGAGTAAAACAGCAAGGCCCCACGGAAGGTCCCAGAACAACAATGATGTCTTCCAAATTACAGCCATATTCTGCTATCATAGCATTCACAGTAGCCATAGCTACACCCAACAAAGTACCTTTCCAGCCTGGAAAATGGGAAGAAAAGAAGACGGGATAAGTTAAAAATATAGACTTTCAACTGCTTTTATGTCTCAGTGAAAAATGAACAGCTGTGGTTGTTGTCTTCAAAGTCCAGGTGTAATAGATGAGCCACAAAAGCAATGACTCCATTGAAATGCTGTCATTAACATTAAAGGGCACTATACAAAGCACAGGACAGAACTGACAATTAATGGGATTTTTTTGAAAAGTGGTAACTGACATTTAGTCTCCATAGGAATAATGTCCTTTCATTCTTTTCTCCCTCTTTCCTATTAACCAGGGTAATGAAGACATGAAATGCAATATTTAAGCCACTTAAGAGTGTCCAACTCAGCATTAACATTTGCAGTATTCCATTTCTAGGGTTCTTTCCTCTTGCAAATTTGAAACTATATTCACAAATATTAACTTCTCATTTCCCTATTCCTACAAAATTTTTGTTTTTGAATTTTAGTTACTCTGTGTACTTTATGTGAGGAGTATCATATTGAATTCGTCTTTCTGTGACTGGCTTACTGAATCAAGGTCTAGAAGGTTCCCCCATGTTGCAGCATGTGTCCGAGTTAATAGAATATTGTGTCACGTATGTCATACCACATCACATTTTGCTACTCACTCATTCATCACTGAACACGTAGGTTGTTTCTACCTTGTGGATCTATGAGGATGCTATAAATGGAGATGTGAGCTCCAATTCTAGGTCACATGACAATTTTATTTAACTATTTTAAAAACTTGTGATAGGGTCTCACTTACATAGTGAGTGGAACCTACTATGAAGATGAAGCTGGCCTCACACTCCAAGACCCACCTGCCTCTGCCTTCCGAGTGCTGGGACTAAAGTGACGCCATATCCAGAATACCATTTTCTTAGGCGAATTTTCACATCTTTTGTACCCATCATTCCTTGAGAGTTGTTTTATGTCTTAAGTAGTAGCCACTCTAATGGATGCATGAAGAGATTATGGGTCTGACTTACATTTCTTTAATTGTAAAGGATGTTGATTGGCTTTCCTTATGCTTCTTAGCTATTTGCAAATAATTTTTAGGAAAAAAGTTCCATTCCTTAATTTCTGGTCTTCCTAACTCTACCTCCTAAGTGCCGGGATGACAGGTGTGCGCCACTACACCTGGTATGTATGATTCTGTTGGTCAGCATCATCCATGTCAAGTATACATTCTATCGATGCAATTACATCCCCAACCCCTTTACCCATTCTTAAATCCAGCTATTGTTTTACTATAGAATTGCAGGTGTTGTTTTAGTGATCAACCCCTTTTTAGACATAATGGTTTGCAAATAATTCCTGCCATCGTGTGGGTTTCCTTTCTGCTCCACTGATCATACTTCGATGCATCAGCATTTTTAATTTAAGTGAAGTTCAATTCACCTGCCTTTAAATTTGTTCCCCCCCCCTTCTTGGATACCTAAAAGCTATATTGACTAATCCAAAGGCATGGATACTTAAACTGCTGTTCTTTTTTTCCCCTTAAGAGTTTTGTAATTTTGCCTCTTACAATTTAGGTCATTGATCCATTCTGACCTAATTTTTTAAATATTGTTATGGTAAGGGCCAGAATCATTCTTTTGCTTGTGGGTGTCTGCTTTCCCCGGCTCCAAAGGTTTAAGATATCATTCTTTCCTCATGAAATAACTAGTTTGGTATCTTCATTGAAAAGCTCTCAACCACAGTTCAGGGCTTATTTGTAACTATGGGCTCTTTATTCTATTTTTTTGTTTATATGTTATTTTTCATACTAGTGTTATATTGTTTTCAATATATAGCTTTGAAATGAGTTTTAGAATTAGAAACTGTGAAATGTCCAACTTTGATCATCTTATACAAGATTGTTGTGACTATCCAGGGCCCCTTGAGGTAACATATATAATTTAGGATGGGTTTTTTTTCCTGTAAAAATGAAATTAGGGATTTCCTAGGATTGTATCAAATCTGTAGATGACTTTGGATAATGTTTCCATTTTAATAGTTTTGTCTCCACTTTACAAACATGGGACTTCTAATTATCTCATGCTTCTTTAATGTCTCAATAATATGTTAGAGTTTTGTTCTCACTCCACTTTTGACACCAAAATTAATCTTTCCAACTAATAGTCTCCTTTCACAGATCTTTCTACTATCTCTTTATTTTTTTGGATTTCCTGGTGACTTCTAAGATTAAGCCACTTTCTTCATTCCTGCTTCCATTTAATTTCCTAAAATAAAACCTAAGAGCATTACATTTTTTCCTTCATGCCTTTATTCTGATGCAAGTTCAGTTGATTTAAGTGGACAATAAGGAGTCTCCCTACTCCTTTTTTTTTTTTTTTTCCCCCCCCCATATACCTGTCCATCTAAAACTAAACACTTGGGTAAAGAGATCTTTTTTTTTTTCAGATAAAAGGAAGAGATGGTAGAAGCAATACATATTTAAATTATAAATTCCATGTCCATTGGTATGTAATTGTAGAAAGGGGACCAGAATGAAATACTAGGTTGTTAATTGGTAGATTAGGTCTCAATAACAAAACAGGAAAGTGTTGTGGTAGAAAAGGCTTTAGGAAAAACATGCTGAATTTTTAACATCATGATTCTGAGATACCTTTAAAAATACAGGTAGTGATTTTCAGAAGAAAACAACTTAGTACAGATATTTTGATTACTGTCAAGACTTTTCTATACACAAAGATATCTTTCTTCATCAGAAACCTTCCTTAATCTTCTCACCAGCAAAACATATTCACACATACACAGCCAAGTAAACATATTTATTAAATTAGTTCCATAGATGGAGTTTAGACTAGTTTAGACTAGACTAGTATATAATGTATTCAACTACATTATATTTTATGGCTAATTTAGCAATGACTTGAAGTTCACATTTACAGCTTCATTTTGACTATATCTTGGATATTTTCAGAATAAATGTTTCAAAACCTAAGTCATACATTTTAAGTTACTTTTGACAATGTCATATAGTGAACTTGACCTCTCATCCAATTCTGTTACCTTAGCCAGGTCAAAAGAAAATAGTGCCACTTGATTCTGTATTGTCTAAAAAGCAAGAGTCAAGTAAGATGAAATTCAAAAGATCATGTCTCATTTTACATAGGATAATAAACACAGAATAATTTAAATATTTTAAAATTCTTTGTGGAAAGAAATTCTATAGGTTTGACACAATACAGCGTTTGAATTTTTTTTAATTATCTTTAGCTAATAGTTACAGTTTAATACAGTTAGTTAAACTAAATGTGACTTTCCACTCATGGGTATATTAAAGCATGCCTTGTTTCTTGTTTTGACTCTTACTGCCATTCTTCATGCTGTTTACTCTGTGAACTCCTTTCTACAACATGCCTAATGCCCCCATTCCCTGGAACCCAGACATCAAGGATGCTCAGCCAGAGGCAGCCACACCTTAGAGTGTTTTGAAAAGCATGAAGGGTTGTGCTTTGGTTATTACAAAGACTATTTGTGACTATTATGCAACATTAAAAACTCCCAGGGCTAAAGATAATTCAATCCATGTGGCAGGATTATCTTGCCCCGTATGTTAATTGAATACCCTTGCTTAGAAATACTGACAGACTTAAAAACTACAGCTTCCTGACTACCACCAGATACCACCTACTTAGGGAATTCTACTCTGAGTCATCTAATTTGACTGGTTTACTTCTTACATCTGTTCCTATAGGAAGATTACACAGACCTCATCCGTTCACAAAGCAATACAATTAACAGCTTTGTATGCCCATCAGAAAAAAAAATTACGAAATACCTTGTACTGCAAATAACAAAATCTTAGTGATCTATTAAGCACACCTACCAGAGTGGGCAACCCCACATGCTGTTTTCACGGGATCTGCAAAGACTATAGGTATACAGTCAGCACCGAGAGCTGTGATGGTGACTCCTCTCTGGTTTGTGACTATTCCATCGTAAGATTCAGGCTCCTTCTTCCCCATCACCCACACGTCATTGGCGTGATCAGTCTAACACAAAACACAGGACAAGGATGTTTTGCAAACAAAATTCTTATATGTGGGCTTTTCTAAAAGTACTCATTTCGGCCCACAACTGGGTAATTATGGTATGGCTATGCACTTCTATAAATAGTAAATTACCAACTATAACATCACTGCAGATGTTGTCTATAAGAAAGCAGACTCAAAGTCATGAACATCCCCCATTAGAGATGAGTAAATCTCTACTTTGGGCACTTCTCACAAAAGACAAGTTTCACTTTCCAGAAAAGTGAAAGTACCAAATCAGTGATTTTTTTCCTTAGACTCAAGTAAATCTATAATTCTTCAACACATTTTTCTCCTCACTTAGGACTCGAGTTCTCCCTGGTCTTCACTTAAAAAGTAATGGCCCCAACTTTTTTTTTCTGATCATTCAGGGGCCTTTTTTCTATATTGAAAAGGTTGTATACTGCATATCCAATATTTTCTTCTATATTGAATGTGGTGATATACTCACTCAAAAGTAGCTATACTTCTAGAACTGAGGAGTTCTAGGTGAGATACATATATACACACATGTGTGTGAACACACACACACACATACACACATGGATATTTACTTTTTAGGCTATAATGTATAGAGAAAATAACTACAGCATTATTCTCATATAAATATTAGATGAAGCACTAGAAGCAAAAGTTAAGTAGCTTAAAGGTTAAATAGTTGACATAGTGAAAAATCTAACGTTTTGGGAAACCAAAATATATAACAAAAATTTACCTTTATTCGGTAAAATTTCTCTGCATTGAATCCTGCAGCGTTTGCCAACCTTCGAAGATTTTCTTGGACAACTACTTTGGGATCTCTCCGTTTGGAACTACTGAAAAGATTGAGTGAGCTAAGAGTTGGTATGTAAGATATGCCACCTGTTCGTGTAGTAAATCCATGTATGAAGAGATCTGTTGAAGATAAGAGTAAAAACATATGAAGCATATAAAAGACAGTCTCTCCATCAGACCCTCCCTGATCACTCCACCCTGCAATTATCTATGTGGTTTCTAATTCTGGCAGCACTGGGTACCTCCACCTGTTGTCACATACTGTTGTCACCCTATGGGACTGCTGCTATTTGAAGGGTACTTTTTTTTTTTTCTCTGTCCAAATGCCCAAAGGGTTGAGGTTTCATTGTTTCTGCATAAAAGATTTCCCGGGACAGAAAAATCTTTTTTTTTTCTTTTTTTCTTTTATGAGGATTGGGAGCCTTAAAGCTGAATTTGCATGGAGCCAATTTGTTTATTTGGGGTGGCTCTGATGAAGTCATCCCTTGGTACAACTGACCAACAAGGCCATAAAAACCCCATGTTGCAAAAGATGAGCAGTTCACAAGAGTCAACAGAAAAAAGAAAAACAGGAAGTGAACAACTTCTGCAGAAAGCCTGGGATTTCACTGCAGTACAAACGACAAAGAGTATTGAAGATACCTGGGATCAAAGGAGATCTGATAATAGTTAAGGCCCCTTTCAGAGCGGGTAGGCTTCTCAAGTATGTTTCTATTTCATTCTGGATTTCTTCTAGTTGATGAGTTGTGGGTTCGTTTATTTCAGTGGCTGGTTTCAACAGGCTCTCCCTCCAAGCTACCTGCAAATCTTCAAACTCAAAATCATAAACCCCAGTGAAGAGCTGATCAATAAAAGCCTTCACAAACGTTTTCCTGTGCTCAGGGACAATCACCTTAATGTGGCTCAGATTTTTTTCATCAATTTTTTGTTTAATTGCATACAAAGTGGCAGCCATACTGGGATTGCTAACAGTCTCAAAGTCTCTCATGAAAAGTGAAAATCCATTTCCTGTTTCCCAGTCACAAAGATCATGTTCACCATCCCTTTCATTACTGCAACACATTATGCAAAGGAACTTGGCCTTGGGGGCATGGTGGCCGTGAATGCCATTCAATGTCTTAAGTAATGTCTGATGGCAGATTTTCTGGGAGTTCAATTTTAAACCAAAGAGATCAACCAAGACAGCTTCTGCCATTCTTCACCCATGCACTTTTCTTCAAAGATGACTTCTGTGCCAAGTCAGCTGTAAAGAAATATGATCACAAATAACAGTCAGTTGTGTGGGTCTTCTTATAGATACTACAGAACTATGTGGTGAACAAAAAGTAATAGTGCTAACACAAAAAGTAACCAAAATAAATCTAGAGCTCAGGCCAGAAAAGAGATCAAGTCCTGCTTTTAAATTATAGGATGCCAACCCATCTGCTTTATCACTATTCCCATCATGGCTGTCAAGACTAAATCACATCTCATAAGCAATACTGAGGCCTCACCTTTAGGATGTTAAGTCGAGCAGTATCAGCAAATCTCTCTGCCTGTCTCTGTCTCTCTACCTGTCTCCGTCTCTCTCGTTTTGTAGTTTTCCAGACAGGGTTTCTCTGTGTAGCCTGCTTGTTCCAGAACTAGCTCTGTAGACCAGGCTGGCCTCGAACTCACACAGATCCACCTGCCTCTGCCTCTCAAGTGCTGGGACTAAAAGCGTGCACCACCACCACCACAAACCTCCTCTTAAGACAGAAGCTGACCGATAGGATAGGCTTTCCCCAGCATTTGCACAGTACTCCATGCTTGGGTTGATCACAAAAGCCACTGCAATTTGCATCAGGGGCCACTGCTGCCCACTTGCTGATTCTATGGTCCACTGTCTTACCAGTCAGTCCTCCCAGTCCCGGCTGGAGCGTCCCTCTGGTGACCCTATTGCCCCTCAATTCCTGGCCATCCCTGCCACTGCTGACCCCTCACCCCCGAGACCGCCTAGGCCCACCCTGACCCCCACTCCGCAGGGCACTGGCGCTGTCATTCATTCTTCCAGCCGCGCGGGGCCGGCTGGGGACTACACACAGCGCCTGTGCGGTCACCGCGGGCTGCGCCCCTGCGCCCGGGACTGGCTGGGGAAACAAACCCCGGGCCCCCTCCCGCG